CCCATCAGTATTTATTCAGACAGGATGAAGACTTGAGATAAAATTAACTCCATGATTAAAATATATGCACATAAATAAAGGCCAATGAATTTGGTTTAGTGATATAGACAATTTCAACTTTGTTGTTTTGGGCGATTTTTAGCGATTCCATTATTTTATTCAATCATCAATTTGAAAGTATTTTTTATGTTTATATGTTTTTATCAGAAATATCGTTGTCAGGTGTCCATATTTGTCTTACTTTAGCAAAAGAGTCTCGTAATATTCCAAGTTAAAATATTTTGGTGCAAAATATTTATTGCACATAATGTATCAGACTATCTGCAAATCAAATATTTATATATCTGTTTAGAATTCAGTGTAAAACGTTTTATGTTTAAATGCAGTTAGGTTTCTTCTCCGCAAACAGCATTTTAATATGTATTTTCTAGTTTTCAATGAAGACTAACAGCATTTCTATAAGTTCACAGTTTTTGAACAAACATCAATAAAAGGAAGTATAAAAAAAAAAGAAAAAAAAAAGATTTTTATTTATTACATGCTTTTCGGTGGTTTATAGAAATATATCAGTGATATAAAACTGGTAATTTCACCGTTTGAAACAGTGAAATTACCACTTTGATAATTTCACTGTTTTGAATTTAAGCCCCTTACGTTGTTTCAGTGAAATAATAGCGTGCAAAGTACTGGGTACCAACTTAATGACGTGACGTCGTAAATGACATCACGTTGTATTATTATTTGGCGCGCTTTTCATTCAGTATTAGGTTTAATGTCTTTTTAAAACGTTTATTTGCATAAAATAAAAAGAAAATTTGTTTAGTTTAGTGTGAGATCAAAATATATATCACCTTGTGAACACCAAAAGTTCATATTTCACTCGTGGCTGCGCCACTCATGAAATATACCTTTTGGTGCTCACTCGGTGAAATATATTCCAATCTTATACTGAACTAAACATATGTCCTCTATATAAGATACGTGTGATTATCCGTTTCCAATCAAATTGTTTTATGTGCTTTGCTTTTCATTATTTGGCCAATATAATGAATGACGTGATTTGATAAAACTTTTGCAATTAACCTGATATAAACATATTGAAAAGGGGGAGATTTTTCAATCAGACAGTGACAATCGCAGACTTGGATTGGTCAAGTCAGTAAATGAGAGATATTAAAATGTGCAACATCTCTTCACATTGGAATAAATAATCCCGAAAGATCAGATAATATGATAACAATGAGATTACGAACGGGTTCTATTTAGAGAATAGTTTTACGTTCAGAAATTTAATCAAGTATATGAGGAACAAGTTGTTGTCTAATATACGACATTTGTAATTAACACCATCTACATATATTGAGAAAAAAGAGTTAAAGAAGTCGATGAGATATTTTGTATATCAAACTTGTACAATTTATGCAATAATAATATATAATGAAGTACATTTACTTTTAATGCATTTAAACACTCATTTTCTTTTCTATTCTAATTACTGTCCGAGTTTAAAAATAAAAATAAAACTGATTGTATGAATTCAGATAATAAGATCATTACACATTTTTAAAGAAATATGTTTCAGTGCTTGACCTTGTCAAACTTATATCGATTAAATTGTTTTATGAGTGTTCTTTAAAGAAAGTAAAGTCACCGTCCACATTAAAAAAGCCAAGTCAAAGACTTAACTATAAACCTTATATAAAAAGAAAATTTATCTCGCATTTAAAAGTATGTAAGCATTCCTTTCTCATGTTTCCTTCTGATAAGTATGTGCTTTTAAAATGATATTTAAAGATAATATCTCTTGTTGTCATCAACCAAGTTTCATCATATTTATTATACACATATTCCTTCATTGCGGAACTGAATCATTCCGTAGTAAGATATTCTAAACGTTATATTACTTATTGTAGATATCTTTCATGCAGCAAAATTTATTAGGTTTTAGGAACTGAAGAGGGTAATTTCCTGTAGACTTTATTCTGAGATTGACAACAAAAACAAGAGATATCGTATAAATACGTCAGATAAATTGTGAGTTAAGATGAAGCAAATTCTAAACACAAGAACAATTGATAGAAAACATGAAACGCTTGTCAGATTATAAGCCATAAAATGCTAATTTATTATTCTAATACTAAGAGGTAAAATACATGGATGGGGAATGAAAATTATTGACATATTACTGAAGGCTGCTTCAATGGAAAAAGTATTTTCTTTTTCGTGAAATATTATGGATAGGGAATAAAAAAGATATACTGCCACCACTTTGGGAATCGGTTTAGATATCTTTGTTTTATAAAGTGATATTAGGTGAATAACTATTCAGATTTCATAGCAAATTTCTTAATAAATAATAAAATTTGAATTTCTCTATTGTGTTGTAATCCTTGTAAAAAAGAACAACCCCGATTTTCAAAATATGAAGTTGAATGCCTGTTATTTCAAAACATTCGGAAATTTGATACTTAGTATTTTAATAGATTTTGCATTATTCATTGGAGATTTACAGCATGATATCATCAATAAGCAGCACATAACAAAATATTAGATTTATTGGAAATTGTTATCAAAATTTAATCAAATCCGAGGTATTTCAATTTCAAAAGAGTAAAATAGTTTTTTCCCAGACAAATCTTATATACTGATGCTGCCATGAGTATGTCAAACCATATGTTTGATAGAGAAACAATGCGAATAGTTTTCATAGAAACTTTATAGATAGGAAAAAATAGGATAGGATAAAATTCAGTAAAATGAAGACGTTTATATACACATGAAGATTCTTATTTTTTCTTTTAGTATAAAAATATTACATGTACAGTATATAATATGTTTGAATTTTAACAATTTGCGAAGAACGTTTTTTTTTTCAAATGTTTTGCCAGAAATTAACATAAAAGAAGGCCCAACGTTGTTCCTTGTAAAAATGTTTTCTTCTTATTTTTACACATTTTCTATTTTGGTCGCATCTCGATGGTCGGTCCACCAAACCGGCTTTTCGGAAACACGTCAGTGAAAAGAAAACAAAACAAGTAAAAGATTACTTAATCCACATGATTTCTTGAAATAAAAGAGTAAAAGACCATTAGACTAAAGCCTAAGATCAATTGTCACGTAAACATTTTACCTCGCCAAAGATCTCTCTGATTACGATTAAGCGTTAAATATGACATTAGTGCTAAAAAAAAGTTAGATTTGGTACATCAACATAATTTGATATTATATACAATTCATTAGACAGTTTTGGCTTTCGGAGAAATTGTACTTATCCAATGCAGTTACTGTATTTGTTAAGGTATTACCAACCTAATGCATTACCTCCGCTTTGAAGAGTATTCAAATAGGCTAGAACTACTGTTAACTACATTGAAAATGAGGGCTGTGGGTTCAATCCCCAGAAGTGTCAACTTTCTTTTCTTTCTTTTTTTCTTTTAACATTATTTATGTATCTCTCATGTCCCATTTGGAAAGAAAAAAGTGTTTATTTTTTAATTTATGGTATTTATTGGCTAAATTATGCTAAATCTAGTAATAAATATGGTACCCGATATTTTCAAAGTGTAATAAAATCAAAACTAGACGGTAAAAGTATTTCATATTTTACAAGATCAACCAATATACTTCTTTCAAAATTTAGGGAAACTTTGAAAACAGGCACTCATTTCGGTAAATTTTCAAGATTTTTTAAATTAGGCTCCCTAAGTAGGAAAATGGTCAGACACGTCGTAAAAATGGGTGGGTATGGTATCATTTACAGATTTCATAAATTTTAAGTAGAAACCATAATTTTGCTTATGTGTATTGTTAGCTGAATGGTACTATTTGTTTCTTACCAAAAATTAATGGGAAAACATTTTTCATTAGAATGTTATTGCAGATTATTTGAAGGTTCCTCATTTCTAAAAAAGGCACTCATAACATCCTAGCTTGAGTTCAAAAAGTGGCCATAACTTGATTTCCGTACGGTAAACTTTGTTTAAATTGTGCATACAGGTGTACTTTAAGGTATATATCTGACATATGATGTAAATTTTTTTATTTCCCTTTAAAATTCCCCATTATTGGTCGTAATACCTTAAAATAACCCGCCCAGGGAAATTTTTATAAAATTATATTAGCTAAAAATTTAAAAACTTTTTAAATTTAATTTACGGGTTTCTTTGCCCAATCAACCCAATTGAACGGGTTTGGGGCATTTTTATTTAAAATAGCAATAGCTTTCCAGTTTTTGAACTCAGGGGAAAGTACCCCCGTAAATTCCCGTTTGCCAAAATGCAATTTACGTCTGTCTACCCGTTTATTAATTTATGAAAATTTTCCATACTTTGGTACATTTAAATTTTTAGTATTTTTCCCTAGTTTTATATATATGGATTGAAACCAACTCGTTTATATCCGGTATAAATACGGGGAAATTTTAACAGTTTTGCATTTAATAAAAGGGATAACTATAACATCTCCTCTATATTTAATTTTCTCATAAAAAAGTTTTTTTCAAACAAATATAGCCCAGTGGAAAAACAGATAATTATTAAATAAGTTTTTTAAACATGCCAAAAGGTAAATTCTCTCAAAGGGGTAATGGGCTTGGTCATTTATCAATATAGCGTTGTTTTAGGAAACATGACATTGGATACAAATATCATTTCGATATAACTAAAGGTATTGGGAATAAGCGTTACGTAAATATTTGGAAAAATTTTTAAAACTCTTCTAGTACCGATTAAAGACTGGAAGCTGTTTGCAAAATATCAGAGAACGAGGGCAGCATACTTGATAAAATGAAACAAGCTTGAAAAAAAAACTGGTGATGAAATATGTTTAAAATATTTGCTGGTTTTCTTGTTCACAAAACTGTTTTCTCTCGCCTTGTGTGAAAGTATGGAAAGTTTTAGGTGGAATCTTTATAGAAAAAAATTATTTATTTAAACAGTTAATCTAAAGACGATATTCTTAATACTGAAAGTGGAAAAAAACAATAAAAACAATGCGTATATAAAGCAACGACGGATAATAATTAGAGTAAACGTTTCTATAGAAGTATATAGCAATATAAAATGAAATAATGGCGTTTAAAGTAACTTTAAAAGGTAAAAAACTGTATGTTTCAGATGTAGATTAAGATTAGCAATTGTTTAGTGTAAAATTTGAAATATACTTTAAGATAAATAATTTAAAAAATGTCTGGATTATCAGGAATCGGAATGCTTTGGGCATTTTCGTCTTTTATGTCCTCGGCGTTAATATGTGTGGGATACTTTTTGCCATACTGGATATCTGGACAAATGTATTTTCAATTCAGTGGAAAATCGGAACAAACTGTTCCCGTCCATTTTGGTATTTTCCGACGCTGTAATTATCCAGCAATAAATAAAGACGGAGAGCTGACTATGATACTTGAATGTGGGAAATATACCACTTTCTCGGACATTCCGAGTACATCATGGAAAATAGCTACTCTTGTAATTGGGTTTGCGTGTGGTATATGTCTTCTTGTGTCATTAACGGCAATGTGTGGCCTTTGTATTAATGGTGTTATAGTTCCGACGGTAGCGCGGTCGGCGGGAATTCTTCAGATATGTTCAGGTATTTGTTGTCAGATAAAATTAAACCATTCTTTCATAAAATTGCAGACGAAAAAACAAAAGCAAAACATAAGTGCCAGTCAGACGAATGAATGAAAAAAATATCTTAGATTCACACGAAAGGAAATATTTGACGTTTTTTGTTTGTACGAAAATAAAAATCAAATTTTTGATATATGTTGTTTTCTTTTATTATAATAATTATTGTTATTCTTTATTTTAATTGCTAATTTGTTTTAGATAAAGAAAACCAACATGTTTTGAAATCATTTTGATATATTTAATAGCACATTATCGTTGCTTAAAACTTTGATTCTGTAACTGATAGTTTAAATAATAATTTCGTCAAGTTTTAAATCATGTACCTACATGCGTGCATTTTTTTAAAACTCTGTGATGGAACATGTTCAAAACTAAGACACTTTTGTTAACCTTGATTTTAAAAACTAATCCCTGTATAATAAGAATAATATCTATCACCTAACAATGACTTTTGTTTTCAATCGTAAATATTTCTCTCTGATTCTTATGCATTTATCAGTAAAACCTATGTTTTGTTTTTCCTGCTTTGCCAGGCAGTTCCTTGTCTTCCCTTTGCTGTCTCAATATATCAAGTAAATACAATTTTACAATTTATATGTACATAACGCCGTTCGATGTTAATAAAACTCATGATTGTTATAACTAAAATTTGAATAATGTTTTAGTTTTTTATTTCTTCTTGATAAAACATATCTAAATAGTCTAATATCGTGTATGTGTTTTAAATTTCAAATATACATGTATTGTCTCTAGTCACATATTGTATCATTTTAGTATAACTGGCTGTAACGCTTGCACTTTATGTAAATTTCAACTACTGTTACAGCCATGATTCAATTAAATGCCTTTTCATGCATAAACAAGCTTCGCTTTGAGCAGATGATTTACTGTATGAAACCACGAACTGTAAAAACTTGACAAAGACGTTACAAATTAATGTTACAAATGCACAGTTACTGGTGATAGTAATAGCAAAGAAAATACTTCTTAAATGTACTATTGAGAAAAATATAAGCAACGTTAAAGTGTTAAAGAACATTTACAAAATAGATAAATTAAGAATGTTTTTAGGAATTAAGAATGTTTAAAATATTTTTCTCACTATTAATATATTTTGCTCACTATTGATATATTTTGTTCACTATCGAAATAAGGCAACATTTATATAATCAAATTTGACTAAAAACGGGGACCCGTGGTATAAAAGTTCATTATATTTTAGGTCTACTCATGGCTGCAGGAGTTGGTATATATCCAAATGGTTGGAAAAGCCCCGAAGTTCAACAAGCGTGTGGAAACACTTCAAAATCGTACAGTCTTGGTAAACATATTACTATATATTTTCTGTATAAGATGCTATTTTATCAAGCAGCAAATCCGTAGTCCAGTGGTTAGGAGCTGAACTATAGTAATGTAGGGCCAAAGGCTCGATCCTCGGGAATTACTTTTCTGCAGTAGAGTTTCTTTCTAGAATACATGTATACGATCTATTTTATGGATATAAAATTAATAGATTTTTGACATTGTTCCGAGCAAAATGGTATATATTTGGACTCGCTAACAGCTTGTATTTGACAGCTGATCAAATATGTATACTTGTTCAAACAAATTCCATTATTGTACAGTTCAATATTCCATAATATATTAATATCAGACACACCGAATAAACATCTTGATAAAAAGGCGGAAGTATCAAAAAGCATCAGACAATGGCTTATATAATGTTGTTTTATTTAATTTGATTTTTGAATTGGTTGAGATAACATAGTGATAAAACATTGGACAGTATATCATTAAACATCATTCCCTAAGACTTAATAATACATAATACTTGCAGGCTATTTTATAGTTCAACCAATTTTTAATCATTTACTAAATATACATTAAGCTCATACAAATTATAAAAGAAAGGAATGGAATTCGAAAACACTTGTTAAATATGGTTCAGTTATTCTATAATTACTATTCGGTCTAAAATTATATAGGTCAAGTACGAGTAGTAGGCGGGAATATAACTATGTGTGATAATGGACTTTCTTTTTTTTCAGGTGATTGCTCTTTGTCTTGGTGTTTCTATATGACCTCTGTTGGAATAGGAGTTACTTTAGTTTGTTCAGTTCTTGCTTTTCACGCGCCAAAACGTAAACACATCATTACCGGATCAGCGCTATAGACATGCGTGTTTGAGAAAGAGAAACGAAGTGATCTCAGTTTGATATTCTTATATGTTTTTTCACATAGGAGATGGCGAAGCAAGGTTATGAAATGACTGATTTTGGAGGTGGAAAAAAGTGTTTCATGACATATAGACATGTGTATCACAAAATAAGTCAATTTTATGGACTGTTAAAATTGATGAAAATAGACGCCATATATTATAGATCTTAACAAGATCTTTACAGATCCTATCAGATTCCTACATTATGGGATATAGATTTGAATGGTGTTTGCACAGGAGCATCAGACATATAAAAAGTTATCCAAACCACACAATTTGAATTCACTAGTTTTATGTATATGCTGACATGAACCAATATATCTTTGATCAACGCAATTGCCTTAAATAATGTTTAGATTTAAGCTAGATATATAGATGCAATTATAACATTTCTGGAAATGTTTGATCGATTTTTTTACAACTTTTAGCTTCAATGCCTGGTATAAAACATACTATGTATGGTATATCACCTGGGCATATCTCTGAGTCTTAATACGAACACATGGTAGTGCCTGCCGCCTTCCGTATATATCTGTTTTTTTTATTTAAAGATGTGATCATCCTACCTTCAATGCAATGGGAGTCTGAAGCCCCCTAGAAATCCACAATCGTGTGGAAAGTCAACAATGAAGGCTGTTTGAATAGTTTTGAATCATAAGCACATAGAAAACTTAAACCTTTGTACAATGAAAGTTGTACGTTTGAGCCAAATATCATTGTACATTTTAAGAAACGAGCAGTCAAAATATCCAACCTTTTTCATGAAATCGCAATGTTGTATTAAGAGACTCTTGATTAGACGCTATCAAACAAAATCTTTTGGTTCCTTTTTACATACCAAATGTAGTTCTGATTTACACATAAATTTCAGACGATGTTCTTATATTATAACGTATATGGTAACATATTGTCTAGAAAACTCGCATTTGAAAATAAAACATGAATTGTCTTATCCCCCCATCAATCATCAGCAGCAGTTTGTTTCTATATCGTCCATTTTTGTCTATTTCTAGAATGCCTGTATTTCATCAATTAGCATTAACTTTTTTCTACATCGTCCATTTATCTGAAATCAATACAGAGAGTATGTTAAAAGTATTGTTGTTGTTAGCAATTAACAAACTGTATTTTACGCTACCATTGACTATATCACTATCAGTGAAAGGAATTTATTATGTAGAGATACAGTGCCTGAAATGTTAATAATTACCAATGTGTACACTCTTTATTACTAAAATGTGATATGTGATAAGGTCCAACCGATTGTAGAATAAGTGCTATTAAGAAGGTTGAAATTAAATATATTTATACCATAAGATCAATTTTTTATTGAATATGAAAACTAATAAATGTTTTTCATTTCTATATGTGATATTTATTTCAGGTAAAATTGTGTGTTAAACATATTCATTATTGTAAGTTCACATAAAATAGAAATAAACTTTTATATTACTTATTGCCTGGAAATACATTTTAGGAACCTAAAAAAAACATTATTCTAAAAGCAACGATCATGGTTATGAATTACACAATATAAATGATACTTAGAATGGGGAAAACGCTTCGATATATAAGGTGTAGTGACGAATATGTTGCCTGTCAGGAATTGGAGTCCAGGATAAAGTGACAATAATTAATTGCAGTGTTTTCATTGAAGAAATTATCAAAGCATATAATTATGACTTTATTGTATAGAAAAATATGAATATATTCAGTATATCTAATGACTTATTGCATATCCAAACAACTAATTGACATTTATGCAGCTTTTCCAGATACCTTTTCTATAAAACTTTGGTAAAACGGTTTGCATGTTGATAACTCTGTTACAAAACGTTCATGGCATATTGAATTGTCTTTAAATTAACAATTGCCTACATTTTGCATCAGAGGACTTATTGTTAAATATTTCAAATTCACATGTTAATATCTAAATTATTATAAATGACAATTTCAAACACTATGGATCTTCACATATTGTTGTTGTTTTGTACCTGTGTTCGTGTGTCTTATAATATTTGTTAGAGAAGAAAACACCAAAAAAATAAATAAATAAAGGAATGCTATTCAAATTTCAAAAGCATGTGGAATTGTAAATTAAATAGAGTGTTGCATAATTCGTTGGAAACTGCATATAAATTTGCGATAAATTATCCAGCATCATACAATATGTTATTTGAATCGGTATTAAATTTTAATTTTCTTGCAATATATTCTAAGACGGCGTATTTGTGACAAATGTAATGCAAGGCCAGTCAATTCATTTTGTAAATGAGTAAGAAATTTGCATTTGTGAGAAAAGATACGATAAGGAAGGTAAGTATATCAAAAGGAGCTAAACGCATATATTGAGTTTTGCTTTTGAAATATACACCTTTGCAATCAGTACATAACCAAGTCAGCCTCTACATCTGTTCCAAATTCAAAACTGGACAAAGTCAGACACAAATTCATTAAAAAAAGGCAGTGTGGTCAGGGTGAGGTGTTGGTTGTGAAAAGTTTTTTATGTGTGTCAGAAATACATATTTAAGAAGGTACTGAATAATTTGGAAAATCTAGAAAATTTAGAAAATTCTTATTGTATAAGTCATAAATAAATAAGAGTAAGCATAAACTATGTTTGGGAAGCTGCAGTCCCTGGTCAAAATTGATTTTTCTCCAAAAACAGCCAGTGTTTAACGACATTATGAATTCGTACAGTGTTTACTTTAGTGTGTAAAACTCTTAACTCGTCTTCTCTGTGCACAAAATGTGTTTATTTTATGTTTAAAAAGGGTCTGTATAGCAATTGTCAGAATTTTCAAAAATCAAATTTGAGATTAATATGTCTATAAGCATACAAATCTACCTATACTGGTCTGCGTCCAAGATTGTTTTATGTATGACATGTCTAAAGCACCAGTTTTCACGACTCGTGGGAATTAACGGCCATGAATTCCTTCTGCCAATATGCAATATTGATGCACGTCTGTCTAACAGAGATTAAGTGAGTGATAGCTTTCATTTATATTGGTACAATTAATTTAGTATGTGTTAAATTAATGCAAAGTGCTCAATTAAAATTTACCATATGACAAAAGCTAAAAAGTTTTTCATTACTGCTATGCAAACCTTAACAAAACGTAATATCGAGTCCAATGGTATTTAAAACATTTGTTTGAATAAGTTTTATTCTCAAATATTTTTTATATTAAATATGTTTTTAAGTTGATTCATTTTTTAAAAATTCATTTCCTTGTTATTTTATACTAAAATAAATAGCCTGGTTTCTACTAAGGTATATCTGATTTTAGGGAAATTCAAATTGAAAGTGTACATAGCTTTTTAACTGAAGTCTGTAGTTTACAAATTTATTGTTTGAATTTTGAAAGAAACGATTACCTCCAAATTACCTTTATGAAAGATATATTCTTAAGAGCTAATGACGCATACACGAAATCATTGCTAAACAGTAGAACCACCTTATTTAAAATGGCAGCAACATATTTTGTTTCGGGTTTTATTCTGGCTTGGTGCAATATACATGACTGTGTGTTATATAATAGAGACATTCTTTGTAGCAACTCTTAGAAGAGCCGACAAAAAAATTATGGAAACAACATACTAGGTTTTAAAAGTTTTTTTAAGTTTGTCATTAGATATAGCATTATACACCTTAATTCTATTAACATGGGGCACGTTTAAGAGTACAAATTCTTGATGTATGTTTTTTTGCGATATCTACAGTAATGGCTTTTTAATTTTCTAAATTAATGATACATCTGAACTGGTATATATCCGGGCTTCCAGATTATTCGAGCGTTAAAAAAGCACTAGCAAATTTCCTCTCTTGGGAAATTTAGAATCTACGAATATCTTGCAGGAAAAAATGCAATATTGATGCATTTCTGTCTATCAGGCATTTCCGGTATATGAATGGTAGTTCCAAATCAGATAGCTTATTTTGCGCGGAAATTGCATTCAAAGGCGTTTAATTTAAAACAAAAACAACAAGAAAAATACTTTTTTTTCAGTATTTTAAGATATGTGCTTGCAGAAAACCAAATGACTGTTTTGTTCAGTTTTTAAACTTTTCATTAAATGTAAAACACAAAACTTTAATGTTTAATGGGAAAAAAAAAGATTGTCAATAAAGAGAAAACAAGTGTAAAATGGTAGATTTAAATATTTTTAAACCAATGTGTGTTTAATGATAAACATGTTTGTGGTTCTGTAACAAATTGTCTGTCATTTCTTAAGCATTTGATGACAGTGCAATTACATGATTGATTAATTCTGGACACGGTTATGTATTTAAGTCTGTTTGAACTGTCACATATTAGAGGTTTGACACGTTATCATATTCGTGAATTGCAGTAATATGTCGAAACAGCAAATGTTCTGATACAACAATCAATTTATAACCTCTTAATGTTATTACATTTTGCTAACTTTACACCAATGATGTCTTAGTACAATATAGAACGTATCGTAGATGAAGAGACGCATTGGTATTACAATGTTTTATTTCATAATCTATCAGTCTTGTTCAAGCAAATTACACCGTCTGATTAATATTATTTGCAAGACATTTCCAAATCTAAAACGCCGATTTCAAAGGTTTGTCATGTCTCGGTGGTTGGTCCAACTAACCTACTTTTCTTTAAAACCAGTTATTACAAAATTGAACCGAAAGTGATCGACATCTAATCTCACATAATTTCCGAATGACAAATGATTATAAGACTCAGTGTCAGAGATAAATTTTACGGAGAGATTTCATCGTCGGATGATAAACCAGCACTGTATTACAATTCGATGCTCATCCTTTTAATCTAAGCGGGCGGACTATTTTATCATTTTAAGGGTTATTAATATTTAAAACCAAAAAGAAAAACAATCTTGAAAGCAGTTCATAGATACGATTTATTGCAGGAAAAAAAAGACTGTTGTTCCTAAGACAATGTTAGGGAGGCTTCAATCACGTTATTCCTGGAAGAACATGCTACAAGCTCAAGAGATGAAGCGCAGCTTGATATTAGATGTGGTCTGTATTTCACTTAAATGATGTTTGGTTTTTGTAATTTATATCTCCGTTTTATATATGTTATTCTAACACTCAACGTGATTTGTCACTATAGACAAAGAAGGGAAAAAAACCGGTGTTAAACTGCCACTACTTGTATATGCGGCTGTTCTGTTTTCATCCTCGATTATAAAGTTTACAAGGCCTTTTAAAGCAACAATAAAAAGCATTTTTATTTATATTTTCAGTCTTATAATGTTTTCTTTTCATACAATAACGAACTAATATCTCACATACACTAACGCCACATATTTGATCCATATGAGTTAATAAATATTTTGACAAAACGGCGCCAATCCGTAAGCAGCGTAATGACGTCATCCTAAACAAGCTGACGTTATTTTATACAAGCAAGAATGATAAATGGGGCACTGATGTAAACACAATATGACGTAGGTTTTTATTGTTGAAAACGTGATAAAATAACTTTTTTTCTTATTATTTCTTTTGTTTAATAATTTCTATATCTTCGCAACAGGAGGGTGCGAAATTCGAACAGCGTTATACGAAAATCGGCACCGGAAGTTATTTCCGCTTGAAAAAATAACATTAACGACTCTCCTTATTTTATCTGTTAGAATCGAAATAACATCGGCCTGAGAGGTGTATATCGGCTATTTAACACCGGTTTTGTCGTTTTGATGCGAAAAAATCAACCACTCAGGCCTACGGCCTTCGTGGTCAATTTCTACGCATCAAAACTCCAAACCGGTGTTAAATAGCCGATATACACCTCTCAGGCCGATGTTATTTCTTAAACATTACAAACTCCAGAGAAATGTAATTTTCTTTGTTTGAGAGTAGCGAAAAAGAAGAAAATTAATTTCCCTGAATGTAATGAGTGACCGCTAGGTGTCGCTATTCGTATAATTTTTTGCACGTGCAAAATTATTGATTCAATAGTCATTCAGCTTTGGACAGTCAGACTGGCCTGTACGCTTATTTTAAATTTTAGCAAGGTTTTCATATATTGTGGACCAACATTATGTATAAATGATATTTCAAGTTTTTCATATAGATGTGACGTAATGAGATACACTTTTTATAAAGTAATATTGCTAGTATTTCATTTAAGTATATTTATGAAAAATAATGATATTATAAATGATTGCGTGTTTTGTAAAATTGTTAAACACATAATAGTCAAGTTTTACTGTATTATCATACAATAACAAAGTTCAAGTTGTATGATATCATATTTAAGTGTTCATCTGACTGTCTAGACGCTTACGCAAATACAGAATTTGTATTTGCAATTAGTTGTTGTTTTCTATTAAAACAGTTTTAGGTATAGTCATACTCTTATGTAAGGGAAGGAAAAGTATAAAGGAATAAACAGAAATATTGTGAAGAAAAATAACTAATCCTTATTTCAGGAAAGATTAAAACACAAATAGGTATTATTTTGTGCTGAACTGTCATCTTCTTGTGAACGAATGATAAACAAATTGAAATGAAATCGTTTATTTAGAAATAACTCTCTTGTTTTATTATTCCACAAAGTACTTCGTAACATACATTTTATACACAATTGAACTACTGATATCACTGGAATTTGCTGATAAGAATAAGATGCACATTATTACACAATTTCGATACAACCTATGAAGGATTTTTTGTAGAATTAAATAAGAATAAGCGCGTACCATTGCTCTCCTTTCTATAAATACCACGGATTTATTTTCAAGTGCATCAATTTGTGCAATGTTGTTTTTTGCACGAGAAAAAAAGAGGGTTATGAAGCAATTTTATAAGAATGATATTACACATGTAAATGATACGTCATTTGCGTTATAAACAAAAGCGTAAATGCGCGCTAATGTTAGCGTTTCACATTGGTCATGCCAATGAAAAATGTTCTTTATTTTAACTGTAAACCATTTCTTTTTTAAATTTTAGATATGTGTTGAGTAGAATATTATATTTGGTTTAAACATATTTATTCAACAAAACATTTAACAAGTGAACAATATTTACAAAGTACATTTTGGGATTGGGCAGAAAGCTATAAAGCTTATAAATGTCCTCTCCCAGTTATAATAATTTACATTAACAAAGTTCATGGCATTATCATACACAACGGTTAGTTGAAGTATTCAAAGACATTCACATAATAGTTAAGAGTTAAGTATTTAGCAATGTAACATATGTAAGAGCAAACAGTAAAAAGGAGAAGAAAAAAAGATTGAAGAATAAAGCAACTCACAAAAAAGTACAAATAGACAAACACCTATCTTAGTATTTTTTTGTTTTAGAATTTAGTAAGAAGAAGAAAATAATATCTTATTTGAATGCTTACAGCTGTATATTAGCAGATACGCACAATAGGTATACACTGAATATTTAAAGAAATATATATATTTGTGTGAATTCAATTAGAAATTTATTTATAGTCGTTGGATAAGAAATATTATTGGCACGCCACCAGGTGCTCTCATTTAGCTTGATAAATAAATTAAATATTGAATCTTGTATCTTTCCAGTTAACAATTAAATGGTCTCAGACTCGCATAATATGATTTAATTCAACCTGTTCAAATAATTTAATATCAATCCTAGATTAATTGAATATTCTTTATATAAAGTATTTACCATTCTGGACACCATAACGAATTTTGTTTTATTCCCACATCAGTTATGCTGTTAAATGTATTATTGAGTTAATGAGTTCAGTTTCATCTTAATTTTCCAACAATTAACATTAATCATTCTCTGATTACAGTTAGAGTGGATATATTACATCTTGACCGATCATCGACAGTTTATTTAAAGACTGTTGAAATGATTGCAAGGAATAAATGTTTGATACCATTTTTTTTGCTTAAAACTTAATAATTTACTGTGCAATTGATATGGCCTTTTTGGACATTATCATGTTTGTTAGGGTATTAATTGAAAAATGTGGTATATTCCAGAAAACGGATATTCGTTAAACAAAATGCACATTCTGGCGTGAAACTTATTGCTATGAAAGGTTGTGATGACAAACGATCACTAAAGTATGTTACACAGATGTTGTCTTCCGTGTACATTTATCACTTTATCTTAAAGCCATATTTTATATTTGATAGGAGTTTTTAAAATCATTTTACTGCATTACACGAACAGTTATCATAAAGGTTTATTCCTTTAAAGAATTTGCTTAACATATTCCATTCAGTGATGCATTCTTTTTTATTTGGATACACAATTAAATATATTATAATTTGGATATGACACTGCCTTTAAACGTGTAAAATCTACATGACCCATTACGATGCTTGTCGATCAATAATGATGTGAATAAAACATACATTATGTGTATACAACACTTATCTAGTCTCACTGCTGTTGTTTCTATACTGTTACTTAATAAGAATTCAATGTGGAATGTTGATAGAACTACTGGGAAAATACCACGAGTGTTTGAAATACAACGTAGTTAACAATCAAATGTTATATGTGTTTATCATTACAAAATGGTGGAAATGGCTTAACATTAATAAGAATTTAATATATGGAAATAAAAATCGATATTCGATAGTGAATAATGAAGATGCTGATGATTTGCTAGTTTGTCGTCAATTAATTATAAGTTATAAAAAGGTGCTAATTTTGACTGTTCTTTGCGAGTTTCAATATGTATTAGTATTTTTGCTTTTATTTCATCTGCTCTTGTTGCATTTAAAAGATTCATCGGCATTTGTTAACTTCATTCTATTAATTTATTTCAACGTGCTCTAACTTAAAATTAAGTTGAACTTTGCATTTAAGCTTTTTCTGATGTATTTGTATTTTCGGAACAAAGGTCGCAATTCAAAGTCACATTCAGGAAATACACACTCGATTGATAAAAACTTGCAAAATATTTCATCTTACATGTTAAATGTCAAAATGTGAAAAGATGAGCAAAATATTGTACGAAACCTTTGTCAATATCTCAATTAGTCATAGCATGTCAACCTTTCATATCATTTAGTAATTTTACAATCTTTGTTGTGAAGAGGTTTTTTTTTAATTTTCAAGAAGACATAATTCAATGTTCATGTTGAATTTGTACTTCATTTTTATAAGGAGATTCCCATGATGCACATCATTAAATTCTTTTTTGAATTTCACAAATATGGATAGAAGTATTTAATAGTATAGTATGTCAAGCATATTGTATAAATATTAACCTAACATGTTACTTATTGATAACCGGTAAGTGTTGTCAACTTATATATCTTAGTGTTATTTACCGAAATGATCTTAATAAATTATGTTTTTGCATTGTATAAATTCTAATGTGTATTCCAAAATATAGTTAATGGAAATAAGTCTATGCATGTTGTTGACAATATTGAATCTATAAATCACATAGAAAAAGAATTGAGAAAATTAATATTGAACCATGCTTCTTAACTATATTTCTTTACAAGATATTTTAATAATTACTGTATCTAAAATACCTTCATGCCTGCATTGTAACGTTTTCTATCATTGATAAACGAATAATAATATAATGTCTGAACAATTCAGTTTTCTGTCATTAACATGTTATCAAAAATAGCGATGTTTGTAGAATACATTGTACATTTGGGTATAGGTTATTAGCATAGGAATCGAAGTATAAGAAAAGTCTCAAACAAAATGTTTAAACCTAATTCTTGGTCGGAATAAGTGATTGAATATTCATATTATTTTTGTACATGCTTTCTATATTGCAGGAGTGAGATTCCAATTAATCAAAGGATTTTGTCATCTTGGTGAAAAATATAGAAAAGTAAAATAGGTTAAAAATGATATGAAAAATGGATTAAGTCAAAGAGGAAGAATTTATACGCATTTCACATTTACACTCATTCAAAATCTACTTTGGAATGTCAATAAACAATTGAAGAAGTTCAATAGCGGAGGAAGAAAATGCTTATTTCTGAAGAGGAAATCACTTGAGGATAATTATTTATTTAATAAACCACACAACTTTTACATTAATACGGAAAAGGCTTGTTAACATGTGACATAATTAAGTTTAATTAGTAAATAATCTACATGTATCAATTAATTACAGATATTATTATGAGCTTATTTCGGCATGGAAAATATGTGTAAGACAAAAAGGATATGAATATTATAAATTAAAGCTGGAAAAGATCGTTTATATAACATGTGTTGTTTTTAAGTGATTTTTCATTGATAAACTTTGTAAAAAGTATAAGTTGGAAGAAATTTGAATATGTCTGGTTTATCAGGTATCGGAGTATTTTGGGCATTTTCATCTTTTATTTCATCTGTAATATTATGTGTTGGATATTTTGTGCCTTACTGGTTGACTGGAAAGTTACTAATTCAGCTTAGAGGAAAATCAGAACAAACCGTGCCTGTACATTTCGGTATATTCCGTAGATGTAATTATCCAACAATAGATTCAAATAAGGAACTTTCTATTGTACTGGAATGCGGTAGATACACGACTTTCATGGACATTCCGAGTGTGTCATGGCAGATAGCTACTCTTGTAGTTGGGCTTGGATGTTCGATCTGCCTTCTTGTATCACTGACAGCTATGTTTGGTGTTTGTGTTAAAGGTGTTGTTATTCCAACGGTGGCACGGACGGCTGGAGTTCTTCAAATGTGTTCAGGTTTGTCAACTTTTATGATTCCTGACAAATTGAAACACCAATAAAATCAAATCAAAAACCTGAACGTTAACAAGGAGAAAGAACAAAAAAAAATGCAAAAAGATCCAAGTCATTGTTAAGTGAATTTATCTTTAATGGAATGTCTGTTCTTTAATAAATAATAACGAAGATGTTATTTAGTATTACAGATACCACCAAACCATGAAAAAATATGTATGTTTGATGTTGGTAAGTATGAAATACATGATCCGATTACATATTTTATATACTTTAGCAAATGATTAAGTGTTTCAGAACAATATATTATTTTCATAAAATAAACATTTAAAGTAAATCACTTAAAACTTTATGTTTTTTTCAAGCAATTTGTCATAAAAATATCCAAATGATACATTACTATTGTTTTTATCGACATTTTGAATACAAATGGAAAATATGCCCGTTATAGACCGACCAGTCCACTTTAAAAAGGTAAAAGGTAAATGTTTTTCTCATTCTCATTGGTATAGCATTTTCTTTAAAAAAAGTAAAAGTCATATCCAGAGTTCATAATTTATATACCATAAATAAATGACTAAGTCGAACATTTTGTATCTAAATTACTGAGATAAAAAACAACAACTTTATAATATAATGTTTTATCATATAACCTGTAATTTTGAAATGTGCCACACTTAATCAATTGAAACATATGTCAAAGTGGCCACAGCTATGTCATTTATTTCTTTATGTGTTTCACCTGGTATTAAAAATAAAAAGAGATTATTATTACTAGTATTTTGGATTGGAATTTGTATTTAAGTCGAATAGTATTTTGGTTTACCAGCATCTTACAAGGCGCAGGTGAGGGACATCAATAAAACCTAGAATTTACTATTCGGAAACAAATTTATATCATGTAAAAACGATTCTTCGGCAAAAAGTTATTTCATTTAATCTAAACGCTTATAGCAGCCATTGAACATAAGAAAGTTGCATTATCAGATAAAATTGATATTACTAAAGATAGGACCTCATACAGCTTGAGGTAAACATATTTTACATTTGAAGAGTTGGAATGCAAACAACAGATATCAAGCACCTGTTTATATTCCTAAAATGACTTTTAAGTTTATTATCTTTCTTAATCTCTTATAACGTAAATTCTTTTCATATAGGTAAACGGTGAATTAAAATGTAATTTGCGATAACAAAGTTATAGATACACAGTTAACTAGCTGTAAAAAAATGAAAATGAAAAAAAAAATGATGTTAGAATGAAACTTTTCATAAACTTACTGGCTGTTAGATTACATTTGCCATTGTCACATATGTCTCCCACTAAATCTATGTCAACTATAAGTTGTTTCCCTTATTTCCTTTTGCATCTGATACATGAATTCATGGGCTTTAAACAAACGTCTCTATTTTCATGATTTACAATAGTCTTTTGTATTTTAAAGCGTTATCATTAATAATTAAGATAAATTTGTAGGAATAAACAAAAGACTATGTGCTATAGATTAGAATATCAGTGTTTGGTATTTGGTTTATCAATACATTTCATTTTTGTTTTATGATTCTCACAATCTACGAATTCCTGTTTTATTGTCAGAGGAATCAGGGCAATAGAACTGAAACTGTGTGATTTTATAATCTCATATGTCTCTCTCGTAAACCGCTGTAAAATGTGATCACTGTTGTTTCTTTTTCAGGTCTATTAATAGGTACAGGTGTTGGCATATATCCGAAAGGTTGGGACAGCCCGGAAGTGAAACAAGCGTGTGGCAACACTTCTAAATCTTACTATTATGGTAAAAACTTTTCTACATCTTCGAGATAATTAAGAAGATTTTCAATCCCGTTTTCAAGATAATGTGTTACTGTGTTAACATGGAATAAAATAGTTCTTCTATATTAAACAATAAAGTGTACCTCGTATATGTATATTTTTGACCTTGTAATTCAAACAAATCAATAAAACATGAACAGAGCAATGAATACATAAATGCGGAATAAAATTACGAAATTGAGATTTGAGATTTAAAGAGAAGTTTTAATTTGTCAATCTCGTTTCAGGTGACTGTACGTTATCTTGGTGTTTCTATATAACATGTGCTGGTATAGGTGTAACCTTGATATGTTCAGCTCTCGCTTTTCACTCTCCCAAACGGAAACACGTCGTTCATGGTTATGCAATTTAGACTATAACCTGAAGTATTACCATAATAGGCCAAAGAGGAAACTGTGAAAGTCGTCCGAGACAGCCAAATTGAAAATGTTTTGCTCGGTTTGATTGAAGGTTCAGATATATACAATAGTGTAGACAAAACTATAATTGTACATTGATTTTATTGTTGATAAATTTGTACAATAAAAAAAATATTTTAAAAAAATAATCATTTTATTGTGTCCCCGGAAAAAGAAGCAAACAGAATCAATCCTTACTTTCTTTTTCTAAGAAACTAAGAGGTATAAAGCCTTAACAATAACACAACCGTAACATAATGATAAACAACATATATGTTGGAAAGAGCAAAGGTGCATTTACAGACATTTAGTTCCGGGACAGAGAACTACTAAGTGGATAATATGTGATGTGAATTTACGAGTGTGAATAAACAACATAAGCCTAACGTATAATTTCTGCATATATTTATTCAGACAGGCTGAAGAGTTTCGATAGCTATGTTTGTGAATCAAGATTGAATATGCACGTATATACTTTTTCAATAAATTTGATTCAGTGACAGAAGAATATGGCTGTTTGTTTGTTTCCATATTCGTACAAGCAATACTATACATGTGTATCTAATAAATTAAGTAAAATTGGTATCGAAATTGTTTGTAAATATCTCTGCATGGTTTTGATAATAAATCAATGAAGTCATCTGTTTTACGATACTGATGCGAAGCAAATTCTTACAGAGAACATGCACATCAATTCTAGGAAGGATGTTCCCTTGAGAGCAATAACGACAATACGCTTAAGGTTAATGCAATTATAGTGGAAAACATTTGTTACATGTATCGTGTCCTAGAATCACTTATTTAGTTTTAATATCTATGTTTTAAACTTCCGGATAAAGATGCTCTAGGTTTAAAAGCAGTTGATGTTTCTTTACGGATTAACATTGATGTTAATAATATTTTGTTTTCAGTAAAGACTAAAAACGCTTTGATTTGTATCACGGAGACATCAATTATTCAAAATGAAATAAGAATAATTGTTTAGAAATGTGATTTTTTAATATAAAATACGCGTGGTAATAGGTTTTAATATCTTATAATTTTATATATGTTATTACCCTAATTTCAACCTTTTAAAACTTTTACAAATTAATCAAATTAAATTCTCAAAAGGGACATATTGCTCATGAGCACCGTTGATTTAATAAAAAAACACCGTTTGACTACGTCTGTTGATAAGGATAAGATATAATGAAAAAATCACGCAAACCTTATTGCACCGGCTTAATCTTTAGGTATCAAAGATATTAACCCAGAAAGACAACCCTGAAAACTAAAAAATAATTGTTAATTACGGAAATGGCTCATTAATTATGCCCAGACCAGAAATTGTGTAAGTATCGACTTCACAAACTGTAATTGTCAGCCCTTGTACCTTGTTGAATGGCAATTTCCAGAAGGCAAGGACATGCTAACACTTGTACAAAATTATAATGTGAAAACAAAGAAAAATTGTAACAATAAGATGCAAAAGTTTGTTTCACGACATTAAGTTGAAACAAATGTAAAACTAGTACAATGATGATATAAAATAGAGTATTTGTGAAGTATTATGACATTCATTTTTATTTTGATTCTAAACTTTACACATTTTTTAATGCAAAATGATTGGGAAAAAAAAGTTTATATAATAAATGAACTGATAAGGATTAAAAAATACGTTTTTCGTTTACAAGTTTACTTTAGGAAAAAATGTTTGATTATTTTTCCCTTTAAATAAGGGGTTTAACCCTATTTTTAAAATTTAAAAAATAAACCCTTTTTCAATAACTGAATCATTTTCAAATTTTAAAAACCCTTCAAAAAGGAAAAAATCCCCCCTTTCAAAACGTAGATTATTTTTTTAACAAAAGAAATTTGGGTTTTGCTTTTTTTTCCAAAAAAAAAGTTCCAAATTCCCGAATACATTATAGCGTAAAATTTTGTAAAAAAAATAGAGAAATTTTGTTTTAAAAAAACTCAGAAAAAATTTTCATAATTTAAAGCAAATTCCACATTTAAACATTGAAAACGAAAATAAAAAACTTTTGGTTTACAAAATGCAAATATTTTATTCTGATACTTGAAGGTAATCAAATATGGATAGTGAGTTAAAAAATCAACATCCTTCTCGTTAGCATTTACATTTAAACAAACTTCAGATTATCTAAGGCATCATCAATTAAATTAGATACTATCTTTTCAATGCCGAAAATTAGGAATTATTGCACCATATTGAAGTACACGAAACTTTTACACTTTTACTAAATTATACTCATACTTACTTATATTTAATACTGAATTTTTGATAAACGTCATCATCTTAAAATTTCTTAAGGTGTCAACCAATTTTTATTGTGCTTTATCAATCTTAAACAGTTTTATACACCATAAAAGTTAGTCTAGCAAGTTTTATCACATACTTGTTTCGAAACTATACAGAATGAATTTTATTTCTTTTATGATCGAAAACAAACACTGAGCAGCAAACATGACAGATAAAATTGTCCAGACTGCATAGTGATTACGTAACTGGCTTCTGCCAAAGGCAATTATGCCATAATAGCCCAACGTAGGATTAGAAATGATAAAAATATTTAACCATTTTCATTAAATTGGAAGTGGCCCTATACAACATCAAGATGAGGCATAATTTGTACGTGACAATCGATCTCGGACATTAGGTCTAATGGTCATTTGTCTCTCACCGCTGATTCAGAAATGATGTGGGATATGAAGTCGGTCATTTGCTGAGAAATTACTGGTTACGTTGATAAAATTGATAATTCTCTTTGCTTATGTACTTTTAGTATAAATCCATCCATGCATTTTTTATAAACTGTATTGTTAGAGACATCGTAGTAATTTTAAAAGTCGACGACGATCACTAACTTCAGTTAATCAGAAGTCGTTCTTAGTAAACTTTGTACATTTATACACTTATTATTTCATTACGACCAGAGAATCATATTGAGAAAAAATAAAATTGTGAGTTTTGCAATTTGTTATGAATTTATGTCGGAAAATCTTGTTTCAATAACTCAAACTGAAACAAAGTTCGTCAGTATCGCTGGTAAACCTGATAACATGAATCCTTAGAGAAATGTACCGTTAGTTATACAATAGCAACATTTCGTTTTACTACACGACAAACAGATAGCCGTATAAAATCACCAGACTGGTTCAAATTATACCTTATAGACGTAATTGTTTTCAGAAAGATAAAATTTGTTCCCATAAATGTTAAATTAATAAAATGTTTAGTAAATCTACACCTTATGTTCATTATACCTATTGTAGTGTAACGCTCAGATCTGAATAAACTCAATATGAACAAATCAACACAAATATAAAGTTTATAAACGTCATATATGTATTTATTTTATATGAAATACTATTCACTAAGACAACACAATTGCTTTAACAATGTCTTTAACAACTTTACAATTCTTATACAATACTTAAAACGATAAGAATTAATGCCAATTGCGTATTTAGCATAATTTAACCTTAAGTGAGTGAGTCTGCTTTAACATCAAAAACTACACTAAATAATCAAATATTTCGCTCCCCTTAAATACTAAAATACCTTACGCCTAAGATTTAATAACTTAATAATTCATAGAGTATATATGCATTTGTGGACAGCTAAACAATTAAATAACCCATTAAGTTGCACGATCTAAAGTACAAAAGGTACACTTCCCGTTTTAGTGTTGACAGGTCTATTAATTAACTAAATTAAGCATAGTGTTCATGACAGCTCATTAAATTAATATCCGCCTATGCATACCGTTAACTAATTACCGGCTAATTACCGTTATCCTACACTATCAATGCTTAAGAATAAGAATATTTACTTAGGGATACTGATTTATCGAATTTAATTATGTAGGGCGTAAAAATCGTCTTCAATTCCTTTTATAAACAAACAAAAAACATACTTAACCTGTATCATTAAGTACCATTCATGATAATTCCATATTTCTAAAAATATTCTTTTTATCATTGCTTAAAAAAAGGATAGCATACAATATACATTACATTTCATACAATATAATTTATAACTTTCAACTATATTAAAATCTCATAGTTTTATTGTTGATAAAAGTCGCACGAACTAATACATTTTTACAAGGTCATAAATTCATTCTAATGATCATGGAGAAAAGCAACCAAATATTCACAATCCAAATTCTCAGTTTTTAAAGAATCTTAATCAACGAAGCCGTCACATTGTCTACGCAACATGTAAAACCAAACTTTTAATGACGGTAGAGAGAATTGGCAAATGTATAAGTGTTTCTCATTTCTTTATCCTTTGCTGAATTAGTCAGACTTTTATTTTTTGAACCGAGAAATACTTATTGAATGGTGTATTTACTTAAATATACGAACAAACAACATTTAACTCCCGTCAGTATTTATTCAGACAGGATGAAGACTTGAGATAAAACTAACTCCATGATTAAAATATATGCACATAAATAAAGGACAGTTAATTTGGTTTATTGACACTTTGTTGTTTTGGGCGATTTTTAGCGATTCCATTATTTTATTCAATCATCAATTTGAAAGTATTTTTTATGTTTATATGTTTTTATCAGAAATATCGTTGTCAGGTGTCCATATTTGTCTTACTTTAACAAAAGAGTTAAAATATTCTGGTGCAAAATATTTATTGCACATAATGTTTCTGTAAATCAAATATTTTGATATCTATGTTTTGAATTCAGTAAAAAACGTTTTATGTTTAATGCAGTTATGTTTCTTCCCCGCAAAAAGCATTTTAATATGTATTTGCTAGTTTTCAATGGAGACTAACAGCATTTCGATAAGTTCACAGTTTTTGAACAAACATCAATAAAAGGAAGTAAGAATTTTTTTTATATAAGATACGTTACACATTTTTTAATGCAACTGATTGAATAAAAGTTATATAATACTGAACTGATAAGAGATTAAACATACGTTTTTCGTCACAAGTTACTTTAGGAGAAATGCTTTGATTATTGTCTTAACTAAGTGGTCACCATATTTAAATTACAAATATACCTTCCTTCAATAACTGAATCATTACAACTAAAGACATTCAAATGGAAAAATCCGTTTCAAAAGCGTAGATTATTTTTTAAAAGATTGGTTAGCTCTTTCAACAAAAAGTAGTTCATTCAGAATACATTATAGCGTGAGATAGTAAAAGAATAGAGATTTCGTATAAATACGTCAGATAAATATCATAATTAAAGCAACTTACACACATGAAACATTGAAAGCGCACATAAAACGCTGGTCACAAAATGCAAATATTTTATTCTGATACTTGAAGGTAATCAAATATGGATAGTGAGTTAAAAAATCAACATCCTTCTCGTTAGCATTTACATTTAAACAAACTTCAGATTATCTAAGGCATCATCAATTAAATTAGATACTATCTTTTCAATGCCGAAAATTAGGAATTATTGCACCATATTGAAGTACACGAAACTTTTACACTTTTACTAAATTATACTCATACTTACTTATATTTAATACTGAATTTTTGATAAACGTCATCATCTTAAAATTTCTTAAGGTGTCAACCAATTTTTATTGTGCTTTATCAATCTTAAACAGTTTTATACACCATAAAAGTTAGTCTAGCAAGTTTTATCACAT